TGTTCGCATGAAGTAGGTAAATTTTGATTTGTATCCTTTCGTAAGGGCAATGTAGGCTGCATGAGGTTGGCTTTTCGCGATTTACGTGAGTGATGAAATATCTTGTACCCATCCTTTAATTTTTTCTCTACAATACTCATCTTTATATTCTTTTGATCCTATAACAGCACCCAAATGACGTTTTCCTTCTGTTGTAATGTTAACTTCTTCTCCAAAGATCTGCTCTGCTTCTTTGGCCAGTTCTTGCGTCTTCACTGTCAGCCAACACTTTGGACCATTTACTAGATAACCGTATTTCTTTAAATACCAATTATATAAATGTGTCAATCTTCCTCCTCCCGCTGAGTCATCGGCCAGCCAAACTTGTTTGATTTCTGGTATGTTCAATCTCAAACTTTGAATCATTATAGCTGTGTTAATTGAGTACCAGGACATAGCTAGAGGATCCCCTTGGGTGGTACCTTCTTGCGACAAAATCTTACCTCCCCCACATATGAATAGCCTGGAGGGGCATCTGTAGGTGTTAATGATGTATATGGACATTCTGTTGCAGGTTATTCGAAGATTGTGCATTGCTACCGCTCTATTCATTTCGATCTACGGGACCATTTAGGAGGCATTCGTCCTCTACATCACTGGCTGCCGGGTGTTTCTCTTCCAAAGCTTCCAAAGTTTCCGGGGAAAGATCTAGTAAACCCTGGGAGCTTTCTTTATCCAGAAATTTAATCGCCGCGGATAGTTTTCCTTGCATTACCAATCTGGCGAAAACTCTGGAGATATCATTTACTGTGCGGGGTTTTCTTGATGATAAGAATCGATCGTGTATAAATCTCACTTCTTTCGTTCATTCAGTAGATTCAAGTCCCCTTGCTTCCATAGGGTTAATCTTCGTTTTATCGCTGTGCTGTTTTCTTTGCTCTTTGATGTTGCCGCGGGCTTTTGGAGAATCAAAGATGGAAGCACCATAAAGGCTTTTAATGCAATCGAATTGAGATCAGAATTGGAATTGAATTGCTTTAGCCAATAAGTCAACTCTGCAATGAAATCTTTTCCCGCTCTACCGGAGGGTATGTTAAAAATGTTCCTTCTAAAATGGGCGATTTCGTCATAGATTTTACTAATCTGATCGCATAAACTTTGTTGCCTAATAGAACCCCACATTTTTTCTTTGATTTCAGACGCGATGACATCTAATTCAGGTGGATTTGGCTTATTATATGCATTTCCTGTGTCATTATATTTTGGTTCCAGTGGTGCCACAGGAGAACGATTTGGAATGCCAACATTATTGTGCTCTGTACTAATTTCCGTTGTATGGCTTTGTTCCAATTCCATCAGTCCCAGAGGGGATTTGTAAAGCGCATTCTCCGTGTCCATGCAAATTTCTGCAGCTTTACCGTTGCAGAAGCGTGACTGCAGTTTCCCCTTTGCTTTCCCAGGATTTAGTTTCGCATGTCCTAATTTCTCGATACTTGAACTATCTATTAGAATTGCTTGCTGTGCGGGGTGTTGAAAGGCGACGGTACCCGACTCGTTTTCCATACAGCTTGACTTCATTTTGAGTACCTCGGGATTTGTTGTGTTGCAGTAATCCACGGTGCTTGAGTCTGAATTCCATTCGTGCACGCTTTGATGCTACCTTGTCAGGTTTCTTTAGAACACAGTTTCATATGACCATCTATGCCCATCGGCACTCTTGATAGGGCCTGTATTTGATGGTAAAGTTGTAGTGAGCTAATTCTGCGACCTAACGGTGACCTGTCGCATATACGTAGTTTCGCAGACGTTAACACATATGTCAATGGGAATTGTTGTCCGTAAATATTGTGAACGATTTCGCATAGTATAATGTTAATAATGAATTCGTTGTGTATAACCATATGGTATAACCGGGGTCAAGACAAGCGAGATTCTGGGTGAGCTGTTTAAACACATCAAGCTTATTGCTGCAAAAATCAACTTAATGTTGCAAAGAATGAAAATGGTAAATATCTTCTTCCAAAGTGTTAGTACTGACCCTCATTATACTACACCAGAGTTACTCGAAATTCCAGAGAATACCAGAGTTCCTTCGCTTACAGTTGAAATATTTCAAAAGAGTACAGTAGAGATACGTTTAAAAACGAAAACGAACATCATCAGGACCAGATGATCTCCCGTACTTGTTTTGGAAAGAGTTAATTGCATTCGAATTGGGCCAACCATCACGCAAATATTTAATATTTCATTGAAAGTTGCCCAGGTCCCTGTAATGTGAACGCATATCATATCTATACCTAAACAATCCACTTCTCCATGTCCCTCTGAAGGAGTCTTCATCTGTTTCCCGATCCCTGTTCGCATCCCCTCGCATAGTGTTCATCTGAACCGCATATATAACAATGGCTTCCCATTTCCTTGTGATTTACAGTTTTTGGTTTTGCATCATTTCTGACTACACCTTGGTTGTTATTTGCAGCCATAGAACCTAGCTATATCAGCTTTGACAGCCTCTAATGCCATCATCAAAGTGTCACGTTTTGCCTTTCTCCCCAGTTTGTGCGTTCTTGAGTCTTGCTCTTGTTTATCATGGATACAGGAATTGACCTTGGCCGTTTGCTTCCGCGATAATAAAGTCAATTTATTTATTCGTTCCATCTCTTCAGACATTACATCGCCTACTCCCTTGATTAGCTCCTTATCAGTGATATTATTTTCCTTAAACAAAGGTCTCGTGTTTGCACGAATGGTCCCACTCCTGATTCCTTTTTGTAGTGATTCTTGCCAAAACAGCTTGAACAAAGCTTGAGTGTTGGGCTTATTGCTCGGATAACTGCTTCAATACTTCACTTACGGTATATTCCTTAGATCTCCCTGACTCGACTTGGCGGGTTGGGATAATAAACGACAATCTGTTCTTTTGGTTCGCAGGTCTTACTCTACCAACAATCTTAAGTTCTCTACGATAGACTGCAAAATGACTTGGCTGACTACTACTTACAACTTTTAGTGTAGTTTCTTTTGCCGGTGTTGTGATCTTGGGTCGAGCTTCAAACAGTGCAAACAGTGCAAATATTTTTTGTTCATTGCCCAGTACCACCAGACCACGTAGCCCAAATTAATGCCTACCTCGCGTCTTGTTTAAAAACGTAATCGTTCAGAAACCAAAACATAGTACTAGAGAAGGCCTATACTTTTTCGTGCTTTTTACATTCGCGTATGAAGGAAATGCATAGCAACGGGGGTTTTAAGCCCCCCACGCGTGGACCTCCTGACCAATAGGAAGCAGGAAACAATCCATTTTCTTTTATTGAACGAATAAATACATCCGTCAGTCATCGTTTCTTTCGTATGACACCACAGCTCCAAAACAGATCAAATTAATGATAAAAAGATATCTGCATTATTAGCAAATTTTATTCGCTAACGCTAGTAACGAGCAGCTGGGGAATCTAATAAAAACAATTAATTAGCATTGTGTACAAGCGTGCAATTATAAACCAAAAAGACAACGTTCATTAAATGTATGACAGAGTGAAATACTAAAACGAGTTTAGACACAGTAGCGAAGGGATGAGGAATAATACATTTTAGTATACACCCGACTATTGTCTATTACAAATCCTACATTCTGATTGGCTACTCAACCATTCATTGTCTATTCGTGATGGTGAACGTTTGGGAAAAATTCGCTCGCGCGACCGTATAAAATTGAATTAATTAAATTATTTTTCGGTGTAATTGCAGTGTGTCGATTATTTTCTCGAAATTAATATATATCTAGGTACAGGGTGTATACTAAAACAATTAGACAACTCGCCTCCGTTGACTATTCGCTCATAGACAACTCGGACTCGTTGTCTAATTGTTAAATGGTTCCACGTTTTTGAGTTTCGGTGAATGAATTCATGTCATGTCATTTCTTAGGGGCTAATCATAATATCGGTGATAGTTAAGCGGTGGCTTTGTGTACTTATGTTTCCATATTTTAAGCCTTGGAATCATGATCACTTGTATAAGCTGGCCTACTTAATCTGAAAGATCATGCGATAAACATGTCAGTGTCAATAGCGTTTATGGCAAGTCTTTACTTTATCGACTCTCACAGCTAACTATAACCGTTAAAAATTAAAAACTGCAGTACGAAAATGTAAAAACAGTACAGAATCTTCATGAACTAAATGTTGAGTGTTATTCTAAAAGCTATATACATATATTTTACTCACTCGGCTATAGATTGTGAATCGTCACCTCCCTCAACGCTTTGTCCCATGTAGCTGTATGTGTTTCCCTGATGATTTTCTATCAGCTCATGTAATTTTCCAGCGTTTTATTTTCAACAATATTTATAAAACGTTTTTACAAAAGAGTTTGCGAAATGACAGTTAATAAAATTGCTGACGTTTTTATTTATCATTGAAATTGTCTCAGCTGATCAGGATCAAAATATTTTTTGAATACCTTTCTTTACTCCTTCAATACCTCAAAATTATCTCACGCTTTGTTGAATCTCATGTAACCGGTATCATGTAAACAGCCCCTTAATTTTTGTTATGAAAACATGAGTCATGAAAACACTACATATACATAGACAAATTTTGTGACAACGTTTTTTTGAGAACTGCATCGTATTTTACATTGTCATTTATGGAAACTGTTCTTTGCGATTTGCAATGCTGTGTAACACTGTCGAAATTTGCATATGAATAACAAACATAATTGGAATGACGAATACTGGAGAATCACTTAATTAGGTATACATCAATTTCTTCAACAGAGAGCATCTACCTGTGTTGCTGTGTGCAGGCATTTAAATAACGAGAATGGAACGAAGCAATTTATGAAATTTCGCAAAGAAGAAAGGCTGAGCGAAATAAAAATAATCTTTCACATCGCGTTGCTTAGGTAACGAATTCGGAGTAAAAACACCTGTTCAGCTCAGTTATATATATTATACCTAGCCTTCATATCATCAAGAGCACAATACAGAAGACATCAACTCATCAAAGGCACAGCGCAAAATGAAGCGCCAAGTTTTTGTGGCGATCATCTCGTTTATTGCATTTTTTGGAAATAGTTTGACAGTCCTGCTCTTTATCAAGAAGTCAAAGTGGTTGAAGAAGACTTATAACTGTTTGATTCTTGCTCTGGCAATACAAGATATACTCCAAGCTATCTGTATCTTGATTTCTCCTGGGTACATTTTGCAGAAAGGCGATTATACATTACCTTCCGGCGAAACATCGCGATGGATATTTTGCAAGATATTCTGGTCTCATTTCTGTATCTTCACCTTGGGGATAACCTCTGTTTACACCTGTCTTATGCTAACGCTTGATCGCTGGTTAGCAGTTGCCATGCCCTTGTTTTACAAAAAATACGAACAATCGAGGAAAGTCGTATTTTCAGCTGTGCTTTTCCCTTGGATTGCCGGAATGTGCTTAAACGTTACTGAGCCATTAAGCACGATGCCAATTAAAGTAAACGGCACTTTTATATGCGTCTGGAAAACACTAGAATACTTATCAGAAACTATTGTCCTCGCAATATCTACGTTTTTATGCACGATAGTCATACCTGGTGCACTGATGGTGATAGCGTACGGTTGGATTGTAGTCCACACGAAAAGATCTCAAACCCGAGTTGCTGTAATTCCTGCAAAGGGGTCTAATGCATTGAAATCTCTAAAAAGAATCACAACGACAGCTTTTTTTGCCTCAAGCATAGTAATTATATGCTGGCTGCCGAGTCAACTCTATTACGCACTGTCCTACCTCCGCTTGACGAAGGGAGGAAGTACCACACATTTTTTCCTCATCTACTTAGCATTCCTCAATTCTTGCTTTAATCCTGTTATTTATTGTTTCTCAAACAGAACGTATAGAAATGGGCTAAGAGATTTGTTCAGCTGCAATGGTTGTCATCACAGTCATCCCCTGGCAAGTAATTTTTAAGCCGGTTTTCCACTAGCGATAATTTTCGCGCGAAACGACATTCTACTTTTGTTTCAGAGCTCTCAACTGCAATCATCTGGAACGAATTGCTCAAATACAAAGGAATAAATTCGCTTCGCGCGAAAAATATCGCTAGTGGAAAACAGGCATTATAGAAACAAGTCAGCAGAGACGGTATTTTCATTTTCGCGATTTTGTGGAACGGGCAAAAACTCTATATTTAATTGTCAGCCTTTATGTTAATATTTTTGTCCTGATATGTTTACACTATAATGAAAAATTTGATTAATAAGTTGAAAGTTTTATTTAAGGCGGATTTCCACTTATAGAGTCCGCGTGTTCTCATCTCTAAAATATGCATATTATTAAGCTGGCAGGCTAATATAGTTATTACTCCGATAATGGTAATTTGTTTTTATTCACTTTCTGTTAACGTGGACATAATATAATACAAAATTATCTTCTTGAGGGCCGGGGATGGGATGGGATGGGATGGGATGGGATTGGATGGGATGGGAGGCGAGAGCAGTTGATCGTTTGGATTCGCATACTCATTGCCTGTACTAAGTTTTTTCGATTTATTCACCTAGCTCATTCAAATATGACATATATACGGATTTAGACTTTTAAGTGCGTGTTACATGCGTATGAAAAACGCGACATTGGAAAGCTCTTATAGATAGGAATTAGGCAATCTAGCCTAGCTGGCCAATTAATAACGCTCTCGCGTGGAACATGACTGCTTCATTAAGTGATTAATAAATGAGGCTCCACTTATGCAATATCCATTGTGACCTACATGCATGTTAACACAGGCATTTCTTGTGTATAAGTAAATACGCGAAGCGCGGTCAGGTACAACCCGAAAATAGTGGAGGGTAAACGTACCATTTGAAATGCCAGTAATCAACTAATTATATAGGCAAAGGCAATTTGATCAACACGTATGATGAAATTCAGGCATGTATGATGTATCGATGTTGCTGCATGCAGACATTTAGCTATATAACAAGAAAAGAACGGAACAATTTATGAAATTTCGCAAAGGGAAGAAGAAGGGTGAGCGGAAACATAGTTTCACGTAAGAATGTTTTAATCGAACAATACCAAGTAATTAACTGAGGGCGGTTGTATCAAGCCCGTTTAGCTTAAACAGTGGATAAGTTCAAAATAGAAAGCAAGTCTAACGTTTCATTCAACAATCGAACTAAATGTTTTTTACCTTAATAAAAAGATACTGTCTACAACCACATATTCAGTGCATAATATTCAAGTTGACTCATTCCAGAGAGATGTAAGAGTGTTATTTAATTTTTACTTAACCACCGTTTAAGCTAAACGGGCTTGACACAACCGGCCCCTGAAGTATAGCTTAGGTTAGGGGAACAATTAAATCACCTGCTTAATTCTTGCTCTGGCAGTTCAAGATATTCTCCATGCAAGCTATCTTTATTGTCACCGCCTCTGGACACATCATGCACAAGGACGCTTCTACATTATCTTCCGACAGAACATCGCGATGGGTATTTTGCAAGACATTTTGGTCCCAGTTTTGTCGTGATTATGTTGATATTTCGCAATTCGCAAAAAATAAATAAAAAACTCTTAACTGTAATAAAAATTTAATTAAATACGTTGAGAGATTTACTTGGAATCAAGCTTTTGGCTATATTTGCCAAACATCAGGATTAAAAGTGCACGACAACATTGTCATTAATAACATTTGCCATAATTCTGTGCGTGCAACATCACTTATAAATGGGTGTCAATCATGCAATATCCATGGCAACAATGCATGTTAACACATGCATGCGTATTTTGTATAAAAATGGACGAAGCGTGATGGAGTGAATGTCTAATAGAAAAGTGTCCTGCATGTGACTATAAAAACCATTTATTTTCACAAGCAATTTCGACTGCAACAGGTACATGACTAAATAATTTGTCAATCTTAAGCTTGATGTATGTTATACATTAGAGATTAAAAATACGACAATTGTCCAATTATGCTCCATTTAGTTGCTAAATTAGCGAGAAAGTAAAAATCAATGTATTTATAGTTTAAATCAGTCTTACTTGTAAATAAAACAACTATTGGCTTCGTAGTGGTTTCGTGTATTTACGTTCGAATACGCATATAGGTGCACGAATTAACGCAAACGGTGTTTTTACTGACACTGTATAGATTGGTTTCGACCTTACAGACCTAAAAACTAAGCTGAAGGCGTGCTTGTTATATGTTTTTATATAGATGATAATTTATCTATGACCCTTGATCCACCTCATACCTTATTATCAGCTCCATCGAGAACTCAGAAGTGATGGAGTGATCTTTGGGGAGTGTAAACAGAAGAGATATGGCGGTATACCAACTGAAGTGAAATGGAACAATAGTAGTAATGTAAACCACGAACTTTTACATTAGGTGTTCAACCAAGGCATAATCATCTTTCTATATCCTTTACGAAAGCTTTTGTTCATGAAGCCGTATATTATGGGGTTCACAAAGGAATTCGAGAAAACAAGAACACCGACAACTCTGACGGGAACACTTGGCTTCAGTTCAAAATAGCCAAGTTGAGCGAACAGGAAATAGATTTGGTTTGGTAGCCAACAAATAATTAGAACCAACGATGCAACTGCCATCATTATCGTTGCTCGCTTAAGGACGTGATTCGAAGACTGGTGGTCGCTTGAAGAGCCTGTTAAAGCTTTTCTTGCGGCAACTGGATACATTCTTTCGTCTTTAAATCTTCAATTGAAATGAATATATGAATATAATGAGTATATCGTTACAAAGTAAGAGGTAAAATCCAGTAAAATTTTGAAGGATTGCCCCTCTTAGTTTGCTCGTTAACAAAATATACGCTGAATTCAACAAGTTGTTGAAAGTTATAAAAGCTGTGTCAACATTGTTTGGTGAGTCTAGATACCTAGTAATTATCGAGAGTCGAGAGTATCATGTCCAGAGTATCAGGTCGCAGTGGCGTAGCCAGCCCGACAATTTAGTCATGCTATGCTAATATTTTGGTGTTCATTGACTGTGAAAACAATGAATTTCTGAAGAAATGAATAATGATAATTATGAAAAATTTGCATAGCATGACTAAATCGTCAGGCTGGCTACGCCACTGTCAGGTCGAGATTCTTAACTCGACTCTCAACCTTGTACTCTCGACTCTCGAGAATTACCTAGACTCTTGTTTGGTCAGTGCAGCTCCTAATGATGATGTTATGTTGTTGTCTGCCTACAGAAAATGTACATTTGATGGTGAAAATGAAACTATTATAAAATTATGTAGATCACGTGTGATGAAAATCTTAAAATTTATGATTGTGCTTGAATTTACACGTTCCCATTCGAACATAGTCCAAAAGTCCGCCGGATATAACGGCTCCGAGTTGAACCAGTAAAACCGTGTCTAGCTCGTTTAATTTGACAAACACAAAACTTTTCCCTCCGTCCGCCACTTAGAAATAACCCTTTAAATCATGCATTTGTGCTAAATTTTAAATAGAAACGTTACTTATGATGGATACCTGATAAAGACATGAGCATAAGCCAATACGATAAGGCAGCATGGAATAAAAGTTTGTCCGGCAAAGAGAAATATCGCCAAAGCCCATGACTTTTGCTTATTTGTCTCGACAGTCCATCTACAATGCGCCTTTGTGTCGTTAGGTTTCTGATATCCTTCGACGCGGGCGATTACGGGTGATTCAAACGCTATTCCGGCAATCCAACTGCAGATGATCAATATTTGCATTGTCCGCACTCCGAACTTCTCTTTGTAAAAAACCGGCCGAATTACGGCGAACCATCTTTCTATCGCGAGAACAAGGCAGGTGTATACGGACGTGATTCCCAAGGAGAATGGAATGAAATGCGACCAGACAATTCGGCAATAGAATTCTCTTGAATTGTAACCTGGAAAATATGGATGCAAGGCATGCATTCAAACAGGAGATTTGCAAAATAAATCTTAATTTTCTTATATACAAAAAGATAAAGATTAATCGCTATACCATTTTGTATATACATGCATGCATGCATATATTGCTCAAGTCTTGGAAGATATTTTCAAATGAACTATAATGCGTTATTCTTATCGTCATTTCACGGCTTCACGCGGTCTATTCTTGCGAGATGTCGGGAGTTATGTCTTATGAATATAGTTTTTGTCGTGTATACTATTCAACGTGAAATACATGCGGAAATATACATATGTCGTGTTGAAATTTATTGATTTTCGCTTGGCGAAGAAGATCATACAGATAGATCGTAATAATGGATCATTCAAATGAATCATATACAAATAGATCACTCAGACAGACTTTTTAAAGCGCGTCATACATTTTTCATTCATATATAATACAGATGATACACGCTGTTGATTATGAACCACTTAGTAGAACTATTCCCTTCTGGCAGATGATCCGTCTCTGTATGAAATATAGATCGAGTAAACTCTTCTTAAAAAAGTGGATTCATGACTCACCTAACGGAACTGTATAGGAATCCGGGTCTTGTACAAACTTAGGCACGACAAGCAAGGATATTGCGGTCAAAATATCTGTCACGGCGAGATTCAGGATGCACTGATAGTGTTTCTTTTTTAACCACTTTGGAAAACGAAAAAGTAGAACTAAGACCATGAGGTTCCCAATCAGTGCTAATGTCGCTGTCAAAGAGAAGATCACTTTTGTCACTGTCCTCGTGTTATCGCTTGACTTTGGTAACGCTGATAGAGTGATTGTTTCGTTCATTTTCCTCAATCCAAGTTAAATCCGGGTTTAAATTTCTCTCAAACTGGCTTTTTCCCACGAACTTTAATTAAAAAGTATGGCAGCTAAACGGTGGGCGTTCAAACGCGCGAGCGTGGTTTGAATATCAGTTACTCCTCAGCAAACTATTCCACTTTAAAATCTTTCATTCCGCTCGGAGAGGGCTATTGAAAGGATGCCGCGTTTTTCGCTTTTCGTCTCACTTTGTGATCACAAATTTTGAGCATTTGCATGAAATATAACTTACAGATTCATGCAAAACAAATTTCTAATAAGCGCACGGAAAGTCCAGATAGATTTTAAAACAAATCCGATATGCCGATTTTAATTAAACATATAGGAAGCTCTATATCACGCAAAATCTTCAACTTTCGCATTTAATCTAAAGATTTGTTCTTCTGCGTGCTTTACTTCTTGATGCGAGCTCTTCGACTACTTGAACTGATTTTGTTAAATTTATGGCCAAAAGCTTGCAGTTATCAGCTTTTATATAGAAGTGCGAGCTCACGCCGAGAACTGCGAGACTGTAATTATATTTTTAATTATATTTTCGTTAAAACAATGATATGGGACAAAGACAGCGCGCTTAATAAATTATATCAATTATCAAAAACGACATATGGCCGTCTCACACAATTCGCATAGAAAATATTGATGCAGCTATTTTTTTTACAAATTTAGCACTTCTGTTAAATTGTGTAATTGTTAATTGCATCTCTGCATGCATGTGACACAACTGAATAAAAGTGTCTCAGTGCATGGTAGTAATTAAACAGTTATGCCGGTAATTTGGTCTGCATTTCAATTTAACCGAAATAGCTTTAACTGAAGGCTCGCGCGATTAACTTGAGTATATTTTTAGACCTGATCATGCTTTTCTATCCACGAACCTTGGCGAAAAAAAAGTTTGCTTCCTAATCAAATTAGACGCGGATAACAGATAAATTTGTCTGCCTGCCTGACGCCCACTGCCTGCATGCCGCCCACTGCATACCTCCCAAAATCTAGCTTTCAGACGCGGGTGATACATAAACTGATGGATGTTTCCAGAGCGCTTCAGTTTTATTAAATATAATAGAATAGAACCACACGTTCTCTTCCTAATTAATATAGAACACATCGATCTTACGGATGCCACGCTATAAACAGCCTTCGGAAAGAAAACAATATCGTTTTAATTGTTTTAATTTCTGGTAAAAGTTGTATATAGTTACATAGCAGCCGAGAGCTGCAAGAATATCCTGCAAGGCACTGATCGTGAATTAAAAGCATCGATCGCATATAGCCTGAATTACGTCTGTTTTCCACTTTAAGCGTTTCGTAGCGTATTGCTTCGTTTCAAAGTTATTATAGTCCTAACTGAGTGTCCAGGAAATAATTATATCCGTAGGCTACGTGTCGCTACGATACGGTAAAGTTGAAGTATAGAAAACATCCCTTTTACGTATATATTTATATTTGATAATTATTGCTTCCCTGGCATTCGGATAACGCTAGGGTGTTTCCGAAAATGTTATCCTTTATAATCACTCTTTTGTTTTCAACATTCATTCGCTTCAAGCAGATATAAGTGAAAACGATGATTAATGGAAGTCAGCGATTCCACACGCCACTCAGAAATCATCGGTTATTGTTCTAAAACTCATTTCCAACTATGTTACATTCAGTTGCATGCATGTATTAGGCATGTTAAGGTATAATGACTTGTCAAAGAAATTTCTCTATTTGAACACAGCCAATCTGTATTAAAAATATACGCATGCTTGACATAGCTGGCAGTCGTTATAAAATGTGATTATGGAACATCAATTCAGTAAAATTAAACCAATCCTTAGCTTTCCGCTCTGTCGTGCAAACATGACATGCAAACATGGCGTAGTATATTTCCAATTAATTCGTATCATGTACATTTTCAATATAAAACTCCGACGCTAATTACACTTTATTGTTTTCTAGATTATAGATTTAAGGTTGCGAATGCAAGATGCAAGATAAGCGTTCCCGATGTTCAATTACACCGGCTGTTTTTTTTTTCGATACAATTATAAAGAGGACGCGTCGTGAAAAAACATCTGCCTCATTGCGAATGCTCTGTCGAAGCGCTGTACTTTATATATTGTAATCATATAGATTTTTAAAATCAGTTTGAAAAGCCCATTTCCGATTTCTGTTAAGTAATTCAGACAGCATTTGAGGTAAAACCAATTTTTATTTTCATCATATTATCATTCAAAAGATACAGCAATAAAATTTGATTTTGTTTAATTCAAAGGAATGATCATCATCAGCCGTGAACATATAAAAAATTCGCTCAGGGGTTTTTGTTTTAATCCCTAAGCAGGGTTGCCAAATTATTGAATAAATTAGCTAAATATTATTTTCATAGTTGTTTTCTTTCCTTAAAAAAAATCAAAGGGCCGACTCAAGGATGTTCGGCAGTTTGGCTTCTTTTTTCAATATTCATGAGAGGAATTCATAATAGCAAATTATTTAAAGGAAAGATCGGATTTGAATTTCTAATATAAAAAAACTAGCTATTTGCTATGGAAACTTTGCTTGTGTCGAATCGTGTCGAATGTATAAACGCGCAAGCGCGGCGCTGAAACAGTTTAGGGCCGCGAGGACATTGTTTAAAAAAGGTGGTGTAGGCAATCCCACAGAGAGAAAGTAAACCTAGAATAAGTACAGAATGTTTTATCAGTCAGTTTCAATGTAAAGATTAAGCTTTATAGTAAATATCGTGCACTTCGATCATGTGATGGCAAATATCGATCATGTGATGGCAAAGGCCACATGGCTGCGCCGGCTTGCCCCCGTAAGCAGAGAGCATGCAGTAAGGCAAACTTTATATCCATTAACAAGGGCCGTCCTTATAGACGTCTGATTTGGGGTGTTACTTCATCACTCCTATGTTTCTCCTCACTTCAATATTTCGACGCCATCTTGCCAAATGACATACGGCTTTTCACGTGTGAAGAATATCGTGCGTCAAATCAAAAGCCGTGTATGGTTTTTTTTAACTCGTGAAAAACATCGTACGTCCAATTAAATTGCATGAAGTTAATTTGCACAGTGAAATACGATTTTTATTTCATCATTCTACTGTGCATAAATCTCTATACACATACAATAAATAGAGAATAATCTATGGTTGCGCGGAAATATGGAATTCATTTCGTGTGTTGAAGAGAATATAATTCACGAGTGAGCGCATTCTGTTTATTATATGAACAAATTATAAGCAAACGACAATCCTTAGTAACTCAAAAACAAATATGTCTCGAAGGGCACGCATTTAAAATAACAATGCTCAGTAAAATGCGCTTATGGTTATAGTCTCTTGAACGTGTATGCAAATATGCATGGTATGAAATAAAAAACGAACGGAAACTGTGATCTAAAAAGATTTTTTTATTGGTCAAACATATTTCCTACGGCTACGCGGTTTTTGATTGGCTTGCGAGAATCATATTTTTACAATACGATTTTCAAATACGATTTTTCTCGGAGGCGTAAATTTCTAAATAACACTCATTTTCATATAATAAACCGGAATATGCATGCATGGTATATATATTCGACTTTGCTAAGGTCGAATATCTGTGTATTAGTATATGGTTTATTCGTCCTTAGCAGGATAGAATATACCAGAATATGCATATATACATATACCATGGTACCTATATCGTGATAAGGTCGAACATATGATATCGTGTGGTATCTTTGGTAAGGTTGAGTACACCGGAACAGGGCATCTTGGGAAAGTCGAATATACCGGTAATATGGTATATAAACTTATATAGTAAGGATTTATGCACTCACAGAGTGCATTATCGGGTTTTACATGCACGAGTTCACAGTGCAGTATTGAACTTCGAGTTCCTTGCTTGTGAACGAGTGCATGTAAACCCGATAATGCACAAACAAAGAGTGCTTTAATGCTTTTAATATTCATTTTTTGTAAACTCGTAATGACTTTATATCATTTTTAAACTTAACTAAACAACACATGCTTACCTTTAAATGCTAAAACACCCCAAGCCGGTTTGGGGTTTTAATTTCCTCTTAAGTTCTTAACTAAGTTCGGCAAATTTTTTGTTTGTTGCTGCCATTTTGATAGTGCAATAAATCCTATAACGGCACTGCCGTGGCGTTGTTGTTATATAACATTCACTCACGTAGAACGTAAGTTTACAAAAAATGAATATTAAATCGGAATATCCTACTTTCGATCTTGGTAACGTCGAATTTACTGGAATATGGTATTTTGAACTTTGGTAAGGTCGAATAAACTGGAACATAGACCCGTCCAGAGGTGCTGCAGGACAGTTGAAAATATCGTATCAGTCAGCCAAAATTTTGGACCTGCCCCTGAGCTATAACGCGCATTTGCAAAAGAATAAAAAATAATTTATGCATATATGACGTGGTGGGTTTTCGTGGCATAAACTGAACTCAAATATTGTGTACGATATGCTCCTGCAATGTGCGCACAGCATACTGAAAGAGTTTGACTTTCATTGGATTGGTTGGGCCACGCACTTTGTGTGCTTATCGAGATATGTGCGGAAATTGTGATTCGTTAATCCATGATTGTGAATTGTCTCAACCGACCCGAATAGGTATTATCCGAAATTTGAAAGTGTCAAGGAAACAAGAGAGGTTAGCTCAATATATAGCGAAATATGCTTTTGTCGCACAGGTATAAGTTGTAGCGTTTTTTTTGCAAGAGCGAGGCTTGCATAGAAAAGCATTGCAAATGTAATAAAAATATTTGGGGACATAGCCATAGGAAATTCCTGGGCCTTCAGTATAATGCACGATCCGATATAAAACAGAACAGCACCACATAGTGAAGCAACGAGTGGCTTTTTGAAACGAATGCAGTGCAGAGATGTATTGCTGTCGGGGCAATGCCGGTTAATATGTGGCGCCTTTTGTTTTGATGTTACCTCAGACTCTGCAAATAACTTGATACAAGCATACATAATGAATTTTGGAGAACAGCCTGTATTCTTGTTTGTCAAAATTAATTAGCTCAACGGGCATTTTTATTGCAATCAGATCAATCCGACAATAATATTGAATTTGTTTGATATTAAATAAAAGCTATTCTGGTGCTGTTGGAAAGGAAAGCTCGTTAGCAACACTGCACTTAGCAAATTAGCCTTTGTGTCCCTCTCGTTACGTTTTGTTGCATGCAGACATTTTATATCAGCCTATTTCTTGAGTCTCGCTTCGTCTAAAGGCCGGCGCACACTAGAACTATGTGCTTAGCAAAAAGTCATTCGTGGCCATTGGCGTAAGCCAGTTGCTCTTGTGTGCGGGCGACTTTTCCGGCGACTTTGGTCATCCGTGCCACTTACGGCAAAAATATCTAGCATGTTTGATAATTTCTGCCTCGCGTGCCGAAATCTTTCCGCGTGCGGCAAACTGAAAGCTATCTGCTTATGGATTGTCTTAACAGCGCATGCGTAATATACGAAAGTAAAATCCAAGATAGCGGTG